CCGTTCCCCCCTCCCCTCCCATCCACAAAGCATGAGTTAGTCCGGCACAGGGATTCTGCTGCCCCCTCCCCCCCACAACCCTCGAGTAGTTGCGAACTGTCTGGCTGGTAGACACACTCATGCAGTCTGAGCACATTTACCAGCCAGGCAGTTCGAAACTACGAACTGATAAATCTAGTAATAATACAACTTACCTACTGAGAAAATACCAGACATGTTATATGTCTGGTATTTTCTCGGTTTGTTTTTCATGTGTTTATATTTTTTGGCTGCAAAAAGCAGAACTGAAAAAAAAGGGTTCCAATTAAAGTAAAAAGTTTGGGAAACCCTGGTCTAACCAGCTTTCTGTCTGTCATACAGCCTATTTATCCAATCCATATTCCTTAACTTGCTGGCAAGAATATTGCGGGTGACCATATCCAAAGCTTTGCTAAAGATGGCACTGGGAGATTTGGGAGGACCAGAAACAACTTATTTGAATATGCATCATTTGATTAATGAATATGCAAATATGCAAATGAACATTACTGGTTCTCCAAAAGTTCGTGAATGGATTTACTGGTCCCTGTGTCAAAAAGTTTGGGAACCCCCGCCTTAGTGCACTGTCTGGCAGCCGGAGCCGTGCGAGCCCTTTCAATTGCTTCTATTTAAAGGGCTCATGCCTTTCAGTAAGAAGCCCCAGGGAAAGTGCAAGCCCATTACATAGAAGCAGTTGAAAGGACTCCCATGTCCTCAGTTCCAAGCAACCCACTAGCAGTGAGTCCTTTAAATAGCAGGAATTGAAAGGGCTTGCAGCTCCTGTCTCTGGCTAACGTGATGCCTGGGAGCTGCAGGGGATGTGCAAGTCCTTTCAACTCCTGCTATTTAAAGGCTCCACCCCTTCTGTCCGAGGCTCTGCCCTTTCCTTCCAAGGCCCTGCCCCTTCTGGGGCAGGCTGCAACCACTTCAAAAATTTCTGAAGTGGCCCCCGCACAAAAATTATTGCCCACCCCTGGTCTAGACACACTCTTAAAGGAGACACACAAAATCAATACAACTTTCCCAGACTAAACAAGTGTTTGTTCTGCAATAGTTTTCTGGCCTTCCAAGGATTCTGAATTTATATCTTTGTTTTCTACTACATCTAAAATTGAATCCTCTGGAAATTTAAACTATTCTATTTATAAGAAAGACAGAGCTGAATATAAAACACTATAATACACTTTATTCAGAGTGAAAACATCTTTAGTCACATCTCTGGATTTTTTTATCATAAAATTATTCTGAGGCCAATGAAAACTATCAGAGTATAGCCTTATAAAAAAACTAGACTTTGGCTTCCTATTTTTCCTGAAATTTATACTTTGGAATACATAAATTCAGCTCTTCATAGAGGTATAATGGTACTACATTTAATGCATAGGAATTAGATATGTGTGTCCTTTTCCTGGTTCATTATAGATATCTGTGTGACTTCTTAAGTTATTTAATTGTGTTTCTGCTATGAACAGTTATTGTAAAAATGGAATTGTGGAACTCTACCATATCTATATCTATCTATATATTATGATATACAATGTATCGTGGTAATGAGGCAAAGGCTTTACAGAAAGCATTGTCTCATGTATTATGCACTTTGTATATACATGACTTTAATTGACTGACATGCACAGTACTACAAGACACTACATAAGTACATCTCTGGTTGCAGAAAAATGATATGCTATATAAGTTATTATCTGACAAAACAATAAGTGATTATGTAAATAGATTACATTACAACATATCTGCCAAGGGGCCAGACTTGCATTTGAAAAAGTAACCTAGCCATTTAAATTCTGCATATTAAGCTGTTAGGCTTTCATACTCTCAGCTTAGTTTTTAATAGAATTTTTTATTAATTTAGCACCATATAGGAAAAATTAGAACTGACCAACACAGTCCTAAGTTACTGAGTCATTTGAAAATGAGGGTGTATTTGTAGCTGTAAATTGGTAAGAGGCGAGACTGTAATATAAAAAATGGGTTAATAATGTTAGTCACTTGTGGGATTATCAAATGACAAACTATGTCAGATTTCAAAAGATGAACTTTAGCTCATGTTCCAAGACAGTCTAAATGCCACAGATATGTATACACTAGGGTAAATGGTTTGATGTCTGAATTTTGTCAAAAGTGACAGCAGGCTGCCTTTGTATGCCACTTGGCCCAGGAATAATTTGAATTAGACAATATACCTGCCATGCTATGAGGTCCTTTAATTTTTCTATCTTTTCTTGATCTTCTGGATGATCATACATGTATTTTTCAGTAAAGAAAGCCTAATGAAGACAGAAAATTACCAGTTATTTCAGAAAATGATTGAACATTTACTGTCTAAAAAGGCTTTTAGTTATGGCAAAGGAAAATGAATCAAACCAAGATTTTGCTACAAAATATCAGTAATAACACATCTACAAATACATAATTAAAATAAATTAATGACAAAGAATTTAATAGTGCCTGAGATCATGACATCCATCCTTCGGAGGTAATAAAGTAAGGGAGGAATATTATTATATTTTGCTCAACATCAAACACTCTGGTCAAGCAAGAAGTACTGCTGAAGGCGCCTGCTTAGTTTTCTTCATCTAGACTTGTGGGTATTATGTCCAAGTGTGGCTTTTGGGGGTCTCCAGGAAGATTAGTTAAATCTTGAAGACTACGGACATATTGCAGCACTACATGATTTAGATTTCCCAATATTATACATCAGTGTCCAGTGGTTAAGTGTCTTATGTAAGTAAAGTAGAACAGAGATATTAGCATTTGGAAGAGTTTTTCCAATCATAGGTCAAAGAGTGCAAACCACATGCTCTCTGTTATCTTACATAAACTTTATTGCTTATGTACAGCAGTTTGTAATGAATAGGCACCAATACAGTTTTACATTTTCACCATTTTATGCTAAGCCGTTATGTGTATATCTTTATCACACTATGTCTGTGATAAGCACTTGAAGTCATTCAAATATATTTGGGATGGACTGTATATTTAATACATCATAATAATGCACTTCCACTAAATTAATCCCAATTACTTTTTTAATCATAGATTTTAAGGCAGGACGATCATCCAGTACTACCAGTTGTGAAACATAGGCCATGGGATTTCATTCAGTTATTCTTGCATCAGTTCCAATAAATCTCAATTGAACTATAGCATGCATTTTATAAAGTCATTAAATCTTCATTTAAATCTTTCCAATGATGGAATCCATCACAACCCTCAGAAAATTGTTTCAATGGTTAATAATCCTCACTGTTAAACCTTAGAGTTGTTTCTTGTTCTTCAACCCCCAGAATTCCTTCATAAATGTCACCCCTTCCTAACATACTCAAGACATGGAAAACTTTAGCTTTTCAAAAATAAATCTATAGCGTTTGAGTTTACACATGCATACCACATACACGTGATTAGATTCCATGACCAAACAGATATAGAAATCAAGAACACAGGTAATTTTGAACCTACCTTTTCATAGTTTGTGAACCCTCCCATGACAGCAGGATCCACAATGCCATTAAGTAGCATAGACAGGGGATTAATAGGGAGATCTGCATCATTCAAATGTTGTTGAACCATATTATTGATCTTATCATTTGTTAATTGCATGGTTTCTATTGCATTTTCCAGGGGACTGATTTCAACCTAAAAGAACAGCACAAAAATAAGTTTTAATTACTACTCCGATAGTCATGTAGCAGGTCCCACTTGTAAAGTTTGCTTCCCATCAAACTGTCCCAAAGATAGCCAATAGATTTTAGAGCACAGGCAAAATTTTAGACAATTGTTACAAAAAGGTACTCTTTATACTAAACAAGATACATAGTGCCAAAACTGCAGTAACTGATATGACATAAACAGATAAAACATTTACTATTTTTCACTGTTATAGCATAATTGCTGTATAGGCCAACGCTCTCAGAAAGATCAAGCAAGTTTAAAAATCCGGCATTGCTTTGATAGAGCCCATGTGAACTTCAAATGAGATACTAAGGAATATTATGCACATGAACAATTATGAACAAACAGCTCTTTGTGGAAAAACAAGAATGATCCAGTTAACGTTATGGTATAAACTTCTTGGATTGGATTGTTCTTTCATAGTGGACTTTGATGACATGCTCTTCAGAAATTCAAATATTATATGGGGAGAAGGCACTACTGCCTGGCTAATGCAGTAACTGTTTTGGTAGCCTCTCAGGAAGTTGTATTAAAATATGTTGTAGAAAAGCCATTTGTAGTACAGGCAGTCCCCGATTTACGCGGATCCGACATAAGTTACGAACGGAGCTTTTCTCACCCCGGAAAACTGGAGCGGCGGGATGCCCAGATGCGCTACAGTCCCACCGCCCCCGTCCTCCAGGGCGAGAAAAGCTGCTCCCTGTCTCTCTGGTCTGCAGGGAGACCGGGAGCAAAGCCACGGAGCACGCCTGCAGCGGGACAGCCCGGGCGTGCCC